ACAAATGAACGCAGAAAACCTTTTGTATTCATGTTTCAGAGCTTGTTATAAAACCTCTCTGTTTGGCTGCGAGTACATGGCTTTTCTACCTGGCACATATGATTGAGTTTACATTCACGAGTGCACACTGGTGCTTTTCCCCCCCTCTTTTTCATTCCCTGCCAGCTGGCCGAGCGTCATCACAATTTCATCCTCCTGAGGCGGTGCACATTAGGCTGGCAGCAATCAGCAAGAGAGTCTGTGTCTGACAAAGAAGCTTGTGCTGACCAACTGCACCAGCACTTTTTGCTTCGGAGGAGCTTAACCTGCTGGAAAAGGGTGCGTATACACCTGCACACATACAGACGCCATCTGGGGCAGACTAAAAGAAATACCTTTTTCTTAATCTCCCCTTTTCTACCTGCTCAGTCATATTTTCATTTTTCCAGTCTGTATGAGTGACAGGTTAAAGGAAAGAAGCCAGCCCTGTGCCTCTGTTTTGCTGTCTGTGTTTGCTGGCATGACTTGGGTACACGAGAGGGATCAATGCAAATCAATACAAAGTTCTTTCCTACCACGAGACATTCCTGTGTTCATGTGACTTCTCTCTCCCAGTTGATAATAAACCATCCACAGGGCGATATGGGTTACTGATCAGCTTGATGAGTATGAAAATAATGGAAATCATCTGCTGTGACCTTCTGAGTCACCAGCTCCCCAGTCACCACCCACACTATCAGAAAAACATCAAATAAGGAGACAACCAACGCTTATAATAGATTTTCCTTTAGTTTTTCAACCATCTTTTATATCCTGATTTCTTAGTGGTTTTTAAAAAAATATTTTTCACACTTACATGTTTCAGGTCAAAAAACATTAACATTAGACAAAGATAACTGATTAAATACTAAATGCATTTTTTCTATGTGGAAAAAAATAATTGCCCTTCTTGTTAAATCACGAATTAACTGTGATTAAGAGCAATTTTTGGAAAAGCTGAGTTCAGTTTCCTAATTCAGTTGTCTAATTACCTGACCTATTCAATCAAGAAATCACCAAAACAGAATCTGTCTGGCAAAGTCAAGTAGACTCCAAGAGGTGATTGACTCATCCCAGAGGTCATGTCATGGCACACCCTGGACAGGTCAGCAGTCTTTCACAGGGCTAACACATAGAAACAGACAGCCATTCGCACTCAGATTCACACCTATGGGCAATTTATAGTTACCACTTAACCTAATCCCACTAACTGCATGTCTTTGGACTGTGGGAGGAAGCCGGAGTACCTGTAGAGAACCCACACAAACTCGGGGAGAACATGCCGACTCCACACAGAAAGACCCTGTTGGTGGAATTGAAATCAGGACCTTCTTGCTTCCCCCCCCCCAAAAAAAAAGTAATAAAAACTAACACAGCACTTCATAAAAAGAACACCAACACCATACCAACAGTGTCGAGGCTGCTTTAATACTTCAGGACATGGGCGATTTGCCGTAATTGATAGAACCATAAATTCTGCTACCAGAAAATCCTGAAGGAGAATTTATGGCCATCACTTTGTCCTGAAGCTCAAGAGCACTTAGGTTATTCAGCAGGACAATGATCCAAAACACACCAGCAAGTCCACCTCTGAATGGCTAAAAAAGAAATAAAAATGAAGCTGTTGGGACGGCTTAATCACACTCTGGCCTCAAATCAGACTACGATGCTCTGGCGTGACCATAAACTGGCTGGTCAGCCTTCAATGTGGCTGCTAAAGGTGGCACAATCAGTTTTTAGGTTTATGGGAAAATAACCTTTTCACAAGGCATCACGATGATGTTTGATGATCTGAAACATGTAACTGTGATGAATACCAAAAAAACTAAGAAATCGAGAAAAGGAAAAATACTTTTTCACAGCATTGTGCATCTCATCCTATAATTTTTGTTCACTTTCACTGTATTCCTATTTGTAAGCAAGTGTTGTTCATTCCAGCTGAGAGACATACAGATAATTCAGGAAGAGCGAGCCAAGCGCTTCTATCGCACACGCACTCTGAGGAGGTTTCTGCTGGCGCTGCTGGACCACGTGACTCAGGAGAGGCTGGTGGAGTGGGAGCATCAGGAGCTGGCTCTGGAGCATAATGACAGGTCTGCTACCCCTGACTTTGCCATATGTTCACAATAATATAACCAGCCAAGTGGGTGTTATTATATTTAACAACTTGAAAGAACTTTAATTACAAGTTAAACTGCTGAATCAGAACAGTCTTTGCAGCTCTTAGAGAAAGGACAGGGCCTGCAAGCCTTTGAAGATGTAAACATTCATTTGACCTCTAGGCATTTTCAATAAGAGACTCTCAAGACCTCAAGTAGCCCTGAAAAAATAGATTTACTAGGAAGTTGTGTAGATGGTAATTCTATAATATAATGCAGAAGCAGTTTCTGGATATTCACCAATATGAAATATAAAGTGCATCTTTTTTTTCCATCTTCCTTTTCCAGTGTAACTTCCTCTGCATTAGACAGAAAATTTATACCACCATCTCCTTGACTCTGGTGCACTACCTCATATTTGCTGTTAGCTGCAAATGTCTTTTCATATCATGATTAATGGAGTCTGTTGGGATGCTTTTGTAGCTCAGTGTGTAGCGCTCCTAAACGGGCCACGTTTCTGCAATAATAGCCTTTGTAGATACCCAAAAGTCAATAAATCTGGGGAGTAATTGTGATATAGCGGTCTTATATAAAACCATCTGTGCTTGTATGGTCTCCCTAAATGCTAGAGCCAGCATGCTAACATGCTGCTGTTCATGCCATAAATCTGTTAAAGTAGCAAGCCAGAATTTACACAGACAAGATACTGCTTATATTCTTCTTTTCCTGGCTATTTTAATAATGATATACTCGCACTATTACCAAGCAGAAAGAAAGCAGAAAGCAAGCAGCAGGGTACAAATCTTGTGTCCCGTTAGTTGGTGTGACATACATGCTAATTTTTCAGATTCTAAACATTCTCATTGCTGGTTTGTTCAGATTTGTCCTTAGTTTAGCATCACAGCTTCCACTAATTACAAGGTACAACAGTCCGCCACAACATCCATCCTTCCTCCTCTCAACCCAACCAGTCACGGTAAATGGCTGGCCATCCCTGAGCCTGGTTCTGCTGGAGATTTCTGCCTGTTAAAAGGGAGTTTTTCCTTCCCACTGTCGCCAAAGTGCTTGCTCATAGGAAGGCATATAATTGTTGGGTTTTTCTCTATATATAGATTGTAGGGTCTACCTTACAATATGAAATGCCTTGAGGTGACTGTTGTTGTGATTTGGCACAGTATAAATAAAATTGAATTGAACTGATATTAAAAATGACACCATGAGTCAATAATATTAATCAGTTTGTTACAATGCACAAATCTGCAGGGCTTTTTATAAGCAGCATTTGTAGGATTTAATGATCTGTCATTGCCACAAGTTGAGAATGTTTATAAACTTCAGCTTGTTAGGTGAAGTTCGCTAAATGGCCACAGGGTGCAAATGAATTCCCACCAGCTGCCTTGGTGCCGCTACCAACAAGCCCCAGAGTTACATGTGAGAACTTATTAGCCGTTGTCATGCTAGAGGTCCCTTTAATCCAGTTTGTTATTGCTCACTTGCTCTGTTCCCGTCTGTCCCTCCATCTGCCTGCATATCAGACGAGTGCTGCGGCAATGTTTCCTGGCCTGGAGGCAACTTCCATGTTTGCTGCGCAAGGAAAGAGAGAAGGACGAGCGGAGGGAAAAGCTGTGCCGCAAAGTGACTGAGGTTCTCCCGGATTTCTGCTCCCATCCACTGTAACGCCTCTGGGAAGATCGACAGAACGGGCAACGTACTGCATACTGATGCAGGCGACACACAAACATCTCAGCATCACTCTGGAAGATGACACACTGCACACTTCTTACATTTATTTTATAAAATATTTTCACAGAAACACAAATCGACCAGAGCAATTATTGGAATACAAAAAAACAAAAAAAAACAAAAAAACCTTTAATGCCTGTGAGAACCAAAAGCAGTGAAAAACTCATTTCTAACTGATGCCAAAACATATTGATTCATTTGCGTTTTCCATTTATCTAAGAGTTGTTCCATTTCTGAGTCAGTTTTGAAAAGAGTCAAAGTAACCGTGTGGTAATAACTAAGCAATCAGCTGCTGTGGAACTTCAAATTAGCTGGCCTGTCTGGCCTGTGCCAAAATGTTTCAATTAGTTGTGATAAATATCCATGAATTCTTTCACAAGGCCAAGTAAGGTCAAGTGCAGTCTGTTTGTGAATGATGAAAAGGTTATAGTGAGCACTGGAGAACCTCTTTGAATATCCTATCTGTGCACTCAGAGGCATCATCTTGTGCTGTGTTCAGACAAAATGTCCCCACCAGGACCAGCAGATTGGAGTTATTGTCTCGCATCAAGGCACTACGAAGGAGGGGAGACATAAGGTCAGCCTTCTAGTCAAGGAAGACATCCAGCGTGAAGGACTAGTAATATTTGTTTGGCAGAGGTGACGTATATGACCAGCTGCATAGAGAAGATCCTGCATGTCCTTCACATTCATGGCAGTATGTGCATCTTATGGGCGTGAGTAGTTGTTATTGCTAAGTGTCAAAGTCAGTGCAACTCCATATGTTGCATTAAAAACGTAGCAGCTCTGAGGTTTGCTGCCAGCAGCACGTCCAATCAATTAAAAGGAGTCATGCTGCCATCCAGTGGGCACTAACACACCAGCAGCCACAATTCCCAAACTTTAAACAGCATTGTTGGGGTGGCTGTAGCTCAGGTGGCAGAGCGGATCAACCACTAACCAGAAGGTCGGTGGTTCAATCCCAGGCTGCTCCAGTCTGCATGCCAAATATCCTTGGGCAAGATACTAACCCCATGTTGCTCTCCGATGCATCCATCAGAGTGTGAATGTGTATGAATGTTAGCTACTTAGCACTTAAGTTTAGAAGTGCTTGTGTGAATGGGTGTGATTGGGTGAATGAATTAGCTGTATAAAGCGCTTTGAGTGCTCGGACAGAGTAGAAAAGCGCTATATAAGAACCAGTCCATTTACCATTTACCATTGCATCACAAGTCTCTCACACCAAGTCAGTGGGAGAGGGGGGAATCACTTTGTCTCCCATGCTCATGAACTCAGACCAGTTGCCACGGAAACCTCGGGAATAGGCGCCAGTGTTCACGACAAGTCCCCAGTAGGCGCTGCGAGCGGTTTTCTCTCGCAGGGCGATGCGGGCTTCGCGCTCGGTCACGTTGCAGCTGACGTTGATGAGCTGTATCGCCAGCAGGTGAAGCAACCCGCCCGTCACAATGCTGCTGTACCACGCACAGGTGAAGCAAAGAGCAGTGCTGGAACACAGACAAGGACGGAGGTAGTCAATTTTTTTCTTTTTTTTTAACCAGCGAAAGGGTTTTATTTTCATGCTCAGCCACTTTCAAAGATATAATATTTAGTGTAACCAGTTTAAAAGGGTGTAAATGGACACATCGCAGTTAAAAGAACCAGTATTTTTACATATTGAAGGCATGATACTCATTCACAGTTTGCCTGTTTTTAACTCTGAGTTCAGTAGCAGTGCCAGTACTAGTCATTTGAACTACTTCACATGCATGCTCGTTGCTCTGAGCAAAAACTGTGAATCTTTCTCTAACAGCTTAATGGGCACTGCTTCAAGGTACTCTTGAAAGTGATTCAGTAGAGCGAAAAAAGCAAGACACTCAATATGCTCATGGAAGGTCCTCACTTACTTCTAGTAGTTCTGGGAAAAGTATTAAATGGCTGCGCAGTGGGTCAGTGAGGATCTTAATTGCTGTGAAAAAGGCTGTCAACCCTATTTTCTGTGGACTCTATCTCAGCTGTGAGTGTTTATTTAAGCACAGGTACTGACGCTGTGCAGTTAAGATGTTTAATTTTGTTCACAGGGCAACAATACAGAGGCTCCTAATTTTAATTAATAAGGCACTGTGAATACATATATTGATTACATTACATTTTAAGGAAACCTGCCTGTAGAGCCTGATTTATTTTTTATGCTCTTTCTAGTATATATACTAGTGCAGAGTATATAATCTGTTCCATTTGTTTGGGTACCTAGGGTTGCTAAGCATTTGACCTTAACATTCATTGTTAGGACACAAAGTCAAACCATATCGAGTAATAGATCACATGAGAGCTGTACAACACACTTTTTACGACATCACAATGACGCCGTAACAGACTAATTCCATCATATTGGAATATGGACAACATACTGGAGATCAATGAGAAGGCGAATGAGGAAATAAATTACATGTATGATCACCTGTGATGAAATAATGAATTAAAAGTAAACTCAAACACTTCTCATTCATTTTTAGTTCACTTCCATATTTTAGGTCTCAGCATTAACCACGACAGGTCCACGTGGTCACTGAACATGTCATTATATACAAACCTTACTGAGCTGATTATAAACCTGTATTTACACAGATGCTTTTTACAGCAACACCAAGTCTTCTCTGCAAAAAAACAAAAAAGTTGAATTAAACTGTGTATTTCACGATAAAGCTGACGCCAAAGATAACGCCGCCACCATAAGCTAGTGTAGCAGTATATAGTGGCTTATGGTGGTGGCGTTATCCTTCCATTTGTCACCAGTGTTTCCTGATGTATGTGGGCCAATGCCTTGTTTTCATTCTGGATTTGATCTCTGTTTCAGAACCGTTACAGCCCTGATGCTAGTGCCAGAATTCAATTAGCTATGCATAAAAATTGGAAATCTTTACAGTTTCCAATCAATACACACATACATGCATAGTCATTTAAGGCTGCTCCCTTATTTCAAACAATGAATGAATCTGAAAGTCACAACTTGGCACAGATTTGACACCAGATGTCCTTCCTGATGTAATGCCTAATGATGTATCCTGGCTCGGTGGAGATGTTTGACCATAATGCACAGGAAAACAAAACACATCATATCAGCACAAAAACCTTATGCTAACTATAAAGTGCAGTGGTGGAGGGAAAATGATTTGGGCTTGTTTTGTAGCCACAGAAACTGGACATGTTGCAGTCACTGATTTGACCGTGAAGTCCTCTGTGTACCAAAGTATTCTAGAGACAAATGTGAAGCCATCTGTCTGGCAGCTAAAGCTTGGTTTGAAACTGGGTCATGCAACAGGATGATGATCCGAAACACTGCAACAAATCTACAACAGAATAGTTGAAAAATAAAAGAATAAAGGTGTTGCAATGACCCAGACCTCAAACTGACTGAAATGCTGTGGTGGGACCTTCACAGAGCTCTGCATTAATTAATTCCTGCAAACCTCAATGAACTGAAGTAATGTGGTAAAGAAGAATGTGCCAAAATTCCTTCACAGCAACATGATAAAGCCAAACAGAAAATACCACTTCAAAGTTCTGCTAATAGTGGTTCTACAACCTCTTGATTAATGGGGTATACTTAGTTTTTGACAGGACTGTATGTCTGTTTCCACTACCTGTACTGGTTGTAGACTCCTGGACAGTAGAGTAAGGCGAAGAGGAGATTTTGCCGTGGACACACACTCTGCAGCACCAGGCTGATTCCGTACAGGGACGTCAACAGGAAGAGGACGAGCGTGAGCAGAAAGCTGCGGTGATTGGCCTGCCCCACACAGCTGTTTATCCTGCCCCGACACAGACAGGAGGGGACGCACAAACACACGAGTACACACACAAGCAGACAAAACATTGTACTGAGACTCCAGGGTTACACTACACTACACACAAACATGCAGGAGCGTGCATGGTATAGAAGGAAGGCAGCAAGGAAATTGTGACGTTAACACAACATAGAAAAAAATATGGTGAGCTAGACACAAGAGAACAAAGATATTCATTCTCTCTGAGCTCATTACCTGCAAAGACAGAGTAACTTAACTCTTATAAATTAAAGGTGTTATTTTAGATCTGCGTGGTCTTTGTGCAGAAAAGAAGCAGGTCACAAACAAGACAACTTCAGTGTTTGAAGGAGAAGAAAGCAGTGATGACAGGCAGGTCAAGTGAGAGGAATTTGAATGGAACCCACCAGACACAGTGGTGGTCGAGACGCAGCACGCAGACACCACAGATGCGACAATGCCCCGCCCTGGGGGGCCGCACCATCCTGCATGCCTGACACCAGTTCTTTCGGTTGCTTTCCTTCATTTCCTCCTCCACATGCTCTGACACCCCAGCCCGGTTGGCTACAGTCATCGTCACATCCTGCCTCCCACCACTGAGGGAAGGGTTTCTGCCTGTGGGGGAGCTGTAATACGCCACCTTGCTGTGAACGGACTCTTCGTTTGGGCGCAGGATGCCCGGATCTCTCTTGGTGTGGAAAAGAGCCAGCAGGGTGAGGACGACCCCGACGCTTACCAGCACTAGCTGAAGCAGTCCAACATCCCCACGTGGAAACACCTCAGTGATGAACAAGTAGTACATGTACGCCAAGGAGAAAAGGGCCAGGCTGAGGAAGAAGAGGGTCCGTCCTTTCTTACGGTGGGTGAAATAGTAATACCACAGCACTAAGCCCGGCAGAGCTGTCAGAACCACCATCCCGATCAGGAAATGGAGAGCAGCAAGGTGCAGCAGGGCAGGAAGGAGAAGAAGAGGAGGAATGATGGACAGGTCCACCTTGCGCGCTCCACCCCACAGCCACGGCACACGAATCCGATCTGTGACGACTGCAGCCACCTGTGACAGGGATTCAGGCTTCTGAGGTTCACTCTTCAGAATCCTGATGAAGTAACGGAAAAGCTGTAATACCTTTTTTTTTTTTAAAAATTAAAGTAACCATGTAGGGAACTTACTAAGATGTTTCAAGCACCTAAATATAAAGACAGAGAACTCAAATACAAATTATTCATTCATATTTTTTCATAATAAACAGCAGATTGCAATTACAATGTGATTTTTATACCCTGAGTGTCACTATGTGAAAAACCTGATATTGATGATACAATAAAGCATTCAGTCATCAGCATCAGCAGGACTCATGCTTCTGACTACCAAATTAGTCGACTAATGGAACTATCAAGAGCCCAACATCTACTGACGTGACGGCAAATGAAGCATTTCTTATTGGGCCATAAAGCTGCAACAAGCACAAATCACACCTGAGGCCAAAAATTATAGGTCTTCCCCTCTCTTCTACGACCCTCCCAACAGGAACACAAAAAAGCTTCATATTACAAAATATCTCAGAATAAGTGGGCCTCAATGAAAATGTGATTTTAATGGGGTACAGTGTTGGGCAAGTTACCTTGAAAAAGTAATTAATTATAGTTACTAGTTACTTCTTCAAAAAAGTAACTGAGTTA